TTCATTTTACAATAATAGTTTATTGAGTGTCCCCAGCTACCACAGCAGGTCTTTATACCCAACACTAAAATAAATGATTTTTTTTTTTTCAGAATGGCAACAAAATGAGGATTATCCATGGGATAATAATTCATGATGTCATAGGCCGACCCAAGATTGTTCTAGATCAGCTCGGAGAAGGACTGGCTGTACTTGGCTTTCGTGCTAAAATGGCAGAGTACCCTGACATGTTTGAGAAGCTGTTTGTGCCCAGCAGTGATAGTAGGTTGAGTGCAGCACAATTGGTTGATGTACTACAGTTTCCATCTGAGATGAGTGAAGATGACAGAACTGTTGCAAATTACCTTAAACAGTACTTACGTAAGGCTGATATTCAAATGTTGGAAAATTTTGTCTTTTTTGTCACTGGTTCCTCTGGTTTGCCCAACTTTGGACTAAGTAGAATCAATGTAAAATTTGACAATGTTCCTTCTATTTTTGCATCAACATGTTTGCTTTCATTAACTCTTCCAAATCACTTTGAAAGTGAAGAAAGTTTCAGTTTATTGCTGAATGCTGTCATTAGTTCTGCAAAGAAATCCTTTAACTGTGTGTAATTCATATCCACCGGTTTATTCAGTCGTGACATTGTAGTTAGCATGTAAATGTTAGAGTTCAGTTCCTCACTTTTTAGAGGAATATTTTCCCACTTAAAAATTCAATGGCATTTGTTGTTGTCACATTGATTTTTTAAGAAGTATTTCAGCCACATGTTAATGTTGACATTTATTGTTGTGCCCATTGAAATTTCTACATGTAGAACCCTAGTCCTTCAAGGTTTAATTAATAATTAAGATTTAACGTGATGTGTGAATTGCAGAAGTTCATGTACATGTATGACCATTTTTTAACTTTCATACTGTACTTTCACTGGCATTGACTATTAAAAGAGAATATTCAGGGAACATGCACTCATGAAACCACAGTGTTAAGTCATTTTCACCAGTAGTTTTGAGTTGTTTTGAAGCTAGCTATCCTTAAATTTGGATTGATCAGGAAATGATGCTGTAGCTGTTCACAATGTTTGTTC